TAATTTTTCCCCCAATTTGATTTCAAAATTTAGGGGTTCCGTTAAGGGGGTTCGAGTGGCTAGGAGGTGTCGCAGGTGGGTATGGTGGGTCGTGGGTGGGTTGGGTCGCGATGGGGTGGTGTTGCGATGGAGTGGTCTCGCATGTGGGTTTGTGAGCTGGGCGTTTCTGGGCTATTTCGTGGGTGGGTGGCTGGGTGCTTTCGAGGGTTTTGTGGGCAGTGATGGATGAGGGTGGTGGAGGGAGGTGGGTGGCTTGAGGTGGGCAGTGATGGATGAAGGTGGTGGAGGGACGTGGGTGGGTGGCTTGAGGTGGGCAGTGATGGATGAAGGTGGTGGAGGGACGTGGGTGGCTGGCTTGAGGTGGGCAGTGATGGATGAAGGTGGTGGAGGGACGTTGGTGGCTGGCTTGAGGTGGGCAGTGATGGATGAGGGTGGTGGAGGGGGGTGGAAGTTGAGGGGAGGGGGTGGCTAAGGAGGGAGTGGTGGCCGGAAAGTGGTAATGAGGGTGGCTGGATCTCACTAACGGAATTATTAACGGATTCCGTTAACTGGTAGCGAAATTTAAAAAACGGGATTTGATAGTTAGTAAAATATAATAAAAGTTTTGATGGGTAGCAAAATTGAAATCGAGTTGTTTCACATGTAGCAAAAGTTAAAATTTCCTAATGTTATTTTTATCTAAAACTAACATGATAGTATCAATCATCAATCAATAACTATATACTAAAAAGCCACACCAACAATGACACATATCAATTTCTGGTGTGTCCTTAGTATAATTTTTTTAATGATTAATTATTAAATTTTAATTTAAGCAAGTTATTTTAAAAAAAAAGTTTATTTTTGTCAACCTTTTTTCTTTTCAACTATATAATTGAGCAATAATACTTACCATTTTTATGTTGATACATAATTAATTACGGAATAATTAGGAAATAAATAATCTTTTTCAAGAAGATATAATTTTAGTGAAATATTTTTTTAAGAATATGATCTTGATAAAATATTCTATGTTACTTCAATTTTGTTCAACAATTAACAATTTTATATTTTATGCTATAAAAAATTAATTTATCAAAAGAAAATATAGGGTAATTAAAATAACCGTGCATGGCACGGGACCTAACCTAGTATATTAAAATTTTTACTTTGCCTTTTAATATAGATTATGACACTTTAATTATTATATATTTTTATGTGTATGTTTTTATCAGATTTTATTTGTTAGACATAATTAATTAATTTTAAAAATTAAATTAGAATTGCTGTGCATGACACGGGTCTTAAGCTAGTTAATTAAATAAATCTTTTTGGCAAGTATATAAATGATCAAATATGTTTTCCTTTTTTTTTCCTGACACAATGTTTTCCTTTTTTATATCTGCATGCGATTAACTAAAATAAAATAAATTAAACACACTTATTAAGAAAATGTTATCTTGAAGAAATATTTTTAGAGAATATTTTTTTAGGAGCGAAATATTTTTAGAGAACAATTTTTTTCAAGCAATTAATTTTAGAAAAAATAATCCTGAATATATCAACAAAAATAACGAGCAGGCCCAGGTTACACACGGTGAGGAACAAGATTGTTTCTCACGAACACGTGGCATGCCAGTTGGCAACCAGTTGGCAAGTTCAGTTAAATATGTTACACATCATCAGCCTCTTCCTTATTTCGTTAAGTCACGCTGTTAGAGAGTTTCTCACGAGTTCAATTGAAGAAGCTCCCATCTTCATCTTCACACCTTCAATTGTGAACCTGCAATTGTTGCTCTGCATTGGCCGGATCGCCTGGTAGTTTCGGTGGTGGTAGGTGGCGCAAGCTCAATTTAAGGTAATTTAAGCTCAATTTAAGCTCCCATATTTCGTGTTGTTGATGTTGCTTTCGCCACTTTTCATGGAGTTATATCACGAATTTCTGTGGTTTAATGTTAAATTTTTGTTAATTTGTGTGGCCTGTTGTTTAATTAGTGCACTGGTGAAAGTTTGTTATGTGAATTTCCTTTGCGTTTGCTTAAATTTGTCAATTTGCGGCTTGTAGGGAATAGTTTCAAGCTTTAAAAATCCCACTAGCTTGAACCCCACTGTGATCATACACTAAAGTACGGTGGCGTCCAAAAGGGAAGAAGATAGAGCAAAAGAGTCGCTAACAAGTTTTTAAGGAACTTGTAAACCGTTCATAGGATGAAGGTTACACCCCTTAACGATCCAAGAGATCGCCAACTCCATAAGGTCATGAACCAAATAAGGGTTCGGGGATGATGGTACAAATCCAACCTAAAAGAGATTGAATCTGCCCTAATAATAGGCCTCTACTTTATTCTGCTCGCATTCATGTGCGCTTTCTGACTAACATACAATCAATAGGATAACCCTAAACCTGTTTAATCTATGTTGGTTGAATATAATGCACAAATAAATCTATTATTGGCGATCACTTGAATTATAATCACAATAAACCCTAACAAGATTATTAATTATCTTATTAAGCGTGATTGCAAGTACCAATTCCCTTTAACATGCATAAAAAGGCGTGATCAAACAATAAAGAATAAATATAATATGTATCAAGCAACATAATCAATAATAATCATAATAATAATAATAATAATCAACAATATTCATGTTAAAGCATAATAAATAGCAAGATCCTAGGCATGATACTAACAAGATTAATAACAAACCCTAGCATGTCACTAAGCAATAAAAATCAAATCTTTAACCCTAACATGATACTAACATGAATTAATATTAGGAAGAACATAGGAAGCATCATAACAATACTAACATGAATTAATATTAGGAAGAACATAGGAAGCATCATAACAATCATATTTAATATTAAAAATACCCTAGACATGATACTAGGAATATCATAATAACAATATAAACATGATTTCTACATCATAAAATCAATTAATCAATTAAAGTACTTACTTGGATGCCTCGTACCTCTTTCTAATAACAAAATACACACGTTAGTAACTCCAAGGAAAATAATAAACAAACAATTAAATTAAATAATTGAAAGAGAGATTCGGGACCAAACCCTCAGAAATTAAAACCTTTCACGTCTAGGGCGAAGGCAACTTCGAATATGGCTAGGTGTTTCTAGATCTTGTGAATGCGGAATTTTGTATTTGAGAAAAGGCTAGTTTAGAAAAAGAGAGAGAGAATAATCAAGAAAATCTTGATGAGAGTTGGTTATTGAAAAAGGGGAGATATGACCTCTATTTATAGGAAAAAAGAGGGTCGAAGAATTAAGAAAAGAATCCAAATTCGAATCGAAATAAAACTCGTAGACAGCAGTTTTTGCGGATTTTGTTTTTATCATATCTTTTGATCCAGGAATCGGAATAAGATGAATAAGATGTCGTTGGAAAGATCTTGAAGTCTACTTTCTAACCCAATTAGAATAATATTAAAATATGTTGTAGAATAAAAGATATGAACGAAATAGTGAGACGGTGTCAGTTTTGGATAGAGTTTGATATCTTATTCATATCTTTTTCGTTATAGCTCGGAATTATTATTATAATATATCATTGGAAAGATAATTTCAAGATCTATACAACCATATAAAATTTGGATAAAAAATATGAGGCACAAAAATAATATCTGACTGTTTTTGAACATGTTTAAATCCGAATAAAATTAGGACTTTAAAAAAGGAAAGTTTTATAAAAAAGGAAAGTTTATATTTAAATCAAATTCCTTAATCTTATCTTTTCAAAAAAGGATAATTAAGATATTTTAGAAACTTATAGAAGATTCTAATTTATCCTAATTAGTTTAGGAATAGGATTAAACCTTTGGACCCTCCTCATGATCATTGGGTCGTAGGCAAAATCCGGTTTGGGCCCAGTTTAGTATTTTGGCCATAACTTCCTCATTATTCATCGGAATTGGGCTTATAATATATCGTTGGAAAGGTCTTTGCAAGACCCATCCAAATACACCATTATTGGACCCTTATCATGGACCAAACTAAACTGGAATGGACGTTTTCATAAAATAGAGTGGGTTTTCGAAAACAGAAAGAAAGAATTTTTTAACAAAAACTAACCGCAACACTAGACTTTTCACACTTTCACCTCATTCGATTATGGTTTGACGTGAAAGGTATTCATCACTGGGTTTGGTTTTGGGGAGACACAAATGGGTGTCTACAGGCTATATCATGAATTTCTGTGGTTTGACGTATAATTTTGGTAAAATTACGCAATTTAGTGTACTTGCATTTGTGATTTTTCTATGAATTTGCTACTGCTGTCATTTTTCTATACTTGGGTATGTATTTTGTTAATTTGTGTTTAGTATTTGATATTAGATGGTATTTGTAGATGGACATGGATGTTAATTTGGTAGGTGGGTGTGCTGAGGCGGGTAATTTGATGGAAGTTAGTGTAGAATATAGTCAACACGAAGGTTGTGTTTTGAATTCAGAGAACCTTAGTTCAATGGGAGGTGGTCGTGATGATGGGGTAGGTAATTTGATTGAAATTGGTGTGTATGGGAGTGATAGTGAACATGAGGGGTGTGAAGTTTTGAGTGCACAGATATTAAGCTCAATGGGAGGTGGGTGTGATGAAGTAGGCAACTTGATTGAAATCGGTCTTGATGGCAGTGAACAGGAAGGGTGCCAAGACACGAATACACAGTCCTTGGAGAACATCACCCTTACACAGACCATTGAAAACACTTCACATTTGCCCACTAGAAATGATACGGCTAACAGTCCAGTGCAGAACTGCTCCCCAAATGAGACAATTCAAACCGTTGAGACTAATGTGTCAACGAATGAGTTCTGTATGATAACCACTATTGACCCTCCAAAAATTGGTATGGTTTTTAAGTCCTGGCAGGACATTGAGCTGTATTACAAAACATATGCAGAGTAGTGTGGATTTGGGGTTAGCAGGGTGCAAGTTGCTCCTAACAGTTCCAAATCGATTAGCAGGATCACATGGAAGTGTGAATGTTGGGGCCCGCCAGACATGAGGGCTAGGAGGGAGGCAAGGAAAAGGGCCAAGTTAATGGATGTTGGTGGCTCTGCTGGTAATGTGAATGGTGACATTGGTGAGGATGAGCTTGCACGTGGTAAAAGGAAATCCAAGAAATGTTTCTGCTTAGCTAGGATATACGCCAGTCTTTCGAGTGATGGCCTATGGGTTTTGAAAACCGTCCACCTAGAACATACTCATATTCTTGCTCCAAGCATGGCTAATTTGGTGAAAGAGTATCGTATGAAGAAAATGACCTCAACTGTACGAAAGAGGTTAGTTAATTTTTATGGGGAGGGTGTTAGTGTTTCGCAAATTCGTGGGTGTTTAGGGACGGAGAACAAGAATTTGCCGAATGTGAAGGATATGCAGCACGGGGTTTACAAGCATAGGCGCCTGAAGATGGCCGGTGGAGATGCACAGACAATGATGGATTACTTTGATTATATGCAGGCTGATAATCAAAACTTTTACCATGTCCATAGGTTGGATAAGAAGGGTCGTCTGAAGGATGTGTTGTGGGTTGATGCAAGGAGTCGGGTGGCTTATGAGGAGTTTGGAGACGTGGTGTATTTTGATTCCACATATCTAACAAACAAGTACGAGCTACCATTTGCCAATTTTGTGGGAGTAAATCACCATGGCCAGTCCATTTTACTAGGTTGTGCTCTAATTTCACATGAAGACTCTGACACCTTTCGTTGGATATTCCATCAGTGGTTAGCCTGCATGGGGAACAGAGCGCCCGGTGCTATTCTCACTGACCAAGCAGCTGCAATGAGGAAGCCTTTAGCTGAAATTATGCCCAATACACGTCATCGTTGGTGTATATGGCATATACTTAGGAAATTCCCTGAGAGACTTGGAAGCTGTGCCTTGTAAGTAGCCTACCGTAAGCTTTGTTTTATACCCATTTAAAACCTGCTGTTCCATACACCTAATTTTTATCTTTGTTTTGTATCATAGGTATAAGAAGTTCAAGAACCCTTTGAAGGAAGTAATATATTAAAGTTTCACTGTTGAGGAATTTGTCACTCATTGGTGTGATGCAATGAAGCTGTACAAGCTTGAGGATAATGAATGGCTACAAGAGTTGTTCATTGAGAGGCACATGTGGATACCGGCTTACATGAAAGAGTACTTTTGGGCTGGTATGAAGACAACGCACAGAGTAGAGAGTATTAACAGGTTTTTTGACGGATTTGTTACGCGCAAAACTAAGCTTTGTGAGTTTCCTGAAAAATATTGCAAAGCTATGAAGAAGAGGACCTCCGATGAGATAGATGCTGATGCAAGGGATTCTAAATACATAAGGAGGCTTGTCAATGGATTCAGAGCAGAGAAGTTTTTTCCAAAAAATCTACACAGATTCCAAGTTTCAAGAAGTGCAAAAGGAATGTTCAAGGATGCTCTATGTTGTTCCTAAGGGTGAGAGGGTTGTTAGTGAAACATAAATACACTATCTTCAAGAAGACAGAGTTTGGATCGTTCCTGAAGGAGCAAGTGAAGAAATCATTACTGAACGCCGAAGGTTTTACTCTCTTGTTTTCAATCCTATTACGAAAGACACTACCTGCGACTGTCGCAAGTTTGAGAAGGATGGTATTCTTTGTAAGCACATCATTAGAGTTTGGGATGATAACAAGGTCAAAGACATTCCATCAAAGTGTGTACTTGATCGTTGGCGGAAGGATATTCCCAGGAGGCACACGCGAGTTAAGGTGGCTTACCACGACCCCAGTGAAACCAAAGAATGTAAGCGCTGGAATAGCCTGATTCACGATCTCGAGGCTATGTGTGACGAGGCATTAGCGGTGGATGATGATACGGTTGAGGCAGTTCGCACAGCAGTGTCAAAGATACGAGCGGAAATAAGGGTACGCCGTGCTAAACACTTGGCAGCCAATGCTCCAACTGAGTGTTCAGCATTCCCTTGTTCTGAAATTGGATCATCTAATCCCCAGCCAGGGCCAAGCAGTACACCAAAGTTAGTGTCCAAGGCAGCGATACCTGAAAGTGGGACTAATCACAAACCTTCAGCATCTGTGATTAGTGATCCCTTATGTCCAAAACGTCGTCGTGGCCGGCCGAAGGGCTCCAAAAATAAGAGCCCAGCTGAATTAGGGAGCACACCCATGCCTGTTAACGAGCCAGATCAACCACCAAAGCCAGGCACCGGAACTCATCAAAGCCATACCCATGGTGAAGGAAACGAGAACTCTGCATTTGTAATTCATGAACCTGTGGGCCTAGAAAGGCGTCGTGGGCGGCCGAAGGGCTCAAAAAATAAGACCCTGGCTGAATTAGGCAGCACACCGATCACTAAGCATGTGAGCGAGTCACCGCAGCAAGTACTAATGCCAGACACCGGAACTGACAATTCTGCTTGTGTAATACATGATCCCGTAACTGCAAAGAGGCCTAGGGGGCTTCCTAAGGGATCCAGACACAAGACCCTGGCTGAATTAGGCTACAATCACAGTAAGTTGAAAGCTGCAAAGGTAACAACCTCAAATACCCTCCTCACTTGTCCTATCGCGTCTTCATTTGCTATTACCAGTCTCTTAATTGCCTGTTATGTGGCCATTTCAAAATTAGGCCTCAAAACCCGGAGTCGTCACAAGACAAACAACCGAAAATTTCACAGGACAAGCTTCAAAGTTACCGGTAATTTTAGTATGTAACAATTACAGGCTGTTCACTAGTAATGCAACTAAAAGTCAACTAACTATGCTTTGTGTAACAACAGAGGAAGCGTAAAACAAGACAGAACCCATACGCTGAATTTAACACTGCCACTAATGATGCTGAACGTGATGAATTCGACCCATGGGGTGCCACGGAGGAAGGTCTCACAGAGCACTGGTACGAGTCTCCTAACGATTGATCACTAAGTACCATGACTTGGGGTCATGGTTTTAAGTATCAAATGATGACACTGACTTTAAGTTTTCAATCACGACAATATTTGTTTCACTCTGAAGTGAATATTTTGTTTGTCTGAATCATTTTCAACAAGATATTAGTTGCATCTAAAACTTAATTAAGGGGATGGAAAGACCATCATGTGTTATTCGTAATGGAAGTGCTAACTTCGGTCACTTGACTATTTTCGGATAACTCATTCTGTTACTTGTTATATGTAATCGTAGCATTGATTTGCCTCATTTTGTAGTTCTGCATCTAAGATTTTGATCAAAATATTTGCAATTATTTTTATTCTTTTCGTTAAAAAAAAACGATATGGGCCTATAACCTATGACCAAATCAGGTGTCTGTACAAAAAATGTTGAACAATTTTGGTAAGTAACCATTTTGCAATATGGGCCTAATTAAAATATTGGAAATTTTTTGGCCCAATCTCCAAAACAAACATAACCAATGTGATATGGGCCTAGTTATAAGTGTAGCCTGTTTTTAGACCCATCAATATTATCATGCAAAAGGGTTCTTTCACTAAATGTTTACCAACCAGACCCACAATACCATACCCGACCCTCCATGGCCACAAACATAGCTGCAAATTACATTGGTAACAAAACTAGTTCGAAGGGATGTAAATGTAAGTTGCAAAATACCTTACACATTGCTGTAAGTAATTACGTCACTTACTTCATTCATTTTCATTAGATGCAAAATTAGTTTCTAAGGATTCTGGTCGATCCATTACATCAAAACTTCAAAAACCAACCTTAATTAACTAAATAGGTTAATTCGTGAGATTAAATGTCACCAAACACAATATTTTACAGCAAAAGGGTGACTACATATGAAACTTTCTACTTGCATTTAAATCCCAAAAGGCACATCACATTAGACGAACGTCAAGCCATAAAGGCCACACCTTAATTCTCCGGAAACGCATATACAAAATCCTTGTTCTTGATTCCTACATCCCCAATGTTTAGACGCCTGTTCAGTCTCACGTCGTGATGCATCAAAACAATGCTCCAGGGATCCTTGTTCACCTGCTGCCCCATTTCTGGCATACCCTAGTCAGCTTTGTGGTAAGCCTTGCACACACCTGGACCTCGTGGTATGGAGTACAAGTATTTCTCATGGTAAAATGTTTCACCCTAGTGTTCATGTTTCTTCCAGGAATCTGCCAACCAAAATTTGCCAAATTAACCCAGGATTAGTCTAAACAACTAATTAACTACACTTGTTTAGTATAACAACAACACTAATGAAGTACGATTGAGATTACATACCACCCCAATAGCGTCGAGGACATCACCAGATGTTATCCTCAAGCTTGCAGCCACATCGGTTGGTGAGATGACTATGTCATTTTTTTTCAGCACAATATCATGAGGCAATAGATCCACACGTGATGCGTAATCCTGGTACATCTCTTCAAAGGTTTCGTCATCCCTCATCTCATACACAACCGCCCAGTCATTACGCTGCCTGCTCTTCACTAGGACAGTGTGAGTGTCCGAAGAGGGCTTTCGATCTGCAAGAGGAATACGCACATCTGTTCAACAACAGGACCTGTTGGTAGGTCTGGCTCAGAGGATGATGCTGGTGGGCAGTTGAGTGCCTGGCGTAGCTCAGCCACGGCTTTGCCAGCTCTCATTTGTCCCATCAGCCTCTCTTGAGCACCACCTGCCATGCTTTTGTAAGGGATAGCAGCTCGCAACCTGCTTAAGGCATTACGAGTGACGACCCTTACAAGCAGACTTCCTTTCTTCCTTGTGAAACGCCTATTACACCGTGGCTTAATTGGACGCCTGGGTTTATGGTAGTTAGGAGAGCGATCTGGGAATGAAGCGGGTTTGGCTAAACCAAGTGGCGAGGGCAAAGTGGTGGAGGAAGTGTTTGGAGCCATGGTTGCAAGCACACAAGCTTAAGGTTTTTAGAAAGGATGCTGTTAGTTTGGTGGGAAAAAAAGAGTTTTCCCTCCACCACTATTTATGATGATACTCACCCAATACCAAGCTGCCACCTAACATAAACTTTTGGCGGGAATAAGTATTGAGTGTGCCCTAATAGGGTTGCCATTGCTATACATATGCAATAACCTAATCAAGTTTTACTAAACTCACTATTAACTTTAACTGAATGCTAGTATAAGATGTTTTGGCAATGATTAACCCAACTACTTGCCCTAACTGAATATCATTTCCAACCAATAAACAAACTTAATGCGTACACTAACATGCCGATAATATTAACACCTTCTTTTAGGATCAAGGTGTGCTTAATTGTTATTATTTAAGTTTGCATTTGATGATGAGGGATTTTGGGAAATAACGGGTCTTTATTTTTAACTACGTACTTTTATTTTACACCCACCATTTTAATTAATATGGATATGTAAATAGTAATCGAGATCGAATTATCTCGACATTTGCAGTGAACACATTACACTCAAGTCCTTTGTCTTCAAATTTTTTTTCTGTTATTTTTTTTTGTTAAGGATAATAATCACCAAGTGAGAGTAGCAAGACTAGCAACTAAAATTAAGCCTTTACATAACACTTTTAACATACCCTAGCTTTGATATCATAAATGTTAAGTAAAAAAAAAATCCGTATTTTCACTAAAAGAGGTATTGCTCATAGTACATTGCTGCAGTCTATGCCTCACTAGGAGGGTAGAGCATGGTTTTATCCATTGGACAGTTGAGGCTGATGGAGACAAGTCCCTGCTACCCTTTTTCTATATCTCATTTTCCTTCTTCTCAGCTGAATACAAGTGCTAGCAGGCTCTATTTAGTCTACAACTATAGCATATGTGTACTGTCGACTATGCCCTAAACAAATACCAATACAACCTCCTTCAAGAAAAAAAAAGGGAAAAAAGGGGAAAAACAGAAGGTGACCACACATCCCTCTACTTCATGTAATACCATTTTTGTTTTGTGATTTCTCTTATCTTGTTTCCAAATATCTCATTACGATTAACTACATAAAAGGCTATTATAATTTATGGCACTATATTCACCTTAGTAATACTAGTAAATTATATTCTTATAATCAATCATGATCAAGATCTCTACTCGCAAAAAGATCAAACTACTAATTAATTCCCTGTTTTGGATTTATGTTTAAAGCACTATCGAGGTTTGTCCAGCATCTGGATACATAAACTGTGGCAATACTCAAATGACCATGAGATTAACCTATGCTACCACTTCAACTATAAGCATACAACAAGCTCATAACTAACTTAGTCGAGCCATAATCACCTTAGGTTGAAGTTATACACCATTGGATCTAATTAAATTAAAAGTACTCGTACTCATCACTGTCGGAATCTTCCAAAGTCTTCCCCAAGCCTGGTGAACTCGATAGATCATCAAAAGCAATCCATGACCGTGGTCGGCCATAACCCACAGTGATTTCATAACGTTGTCTAGGACAGCAAATCAGCTTATATTTGATGTAGACCTAGTGCTAGTGTAGGTGTTTTCTGCACTTGTTTTTCATGTGTTTAAAAGTGTAGAACCTACGTCCTAAGCCGAAATTGCTTTTATGATTTCAAATGCAATCTAATGCAATCTTATGCATCTCTATTATCTTGTTGAAATGACTATCCGATCCCAAAATCCCAGTCAAAATATTTTGTAATTTTTTGTCCAGATTATTTCTTTATAATTGCTATAATAATTCGTTATTTGAAAGAAATATTTATATTCAACATTACATATGTTAAAATAAAATCTAAATTCACAAGTTTACCAACAATCAATTCACAAGTTAACCAAAACAGACAAAATATAAGCAATAAAATCAACAATTCACCAATTCACCATCAATTCACCAAGAAATAAACCACAATGTCACAAGTTGACCAACTAATAATTAAGCAAAGAATACATAAGTTAAAGATCTCCAAAAAGGAAAATGACTACTAATAACATAAATTATACAAAAGAAGACATTAATCCACAAGTTCATAGTCTAAATCAAAGTCATATAAACTTACTACACTCACCCTTGCTTTCACATCCCTTTCCTTTGACATCCACAATTCTTCTCTTCCTCACTGGCTCCTCATCCGTATCACTATCAAGATCAATCGGAGACTTAAAATCGCTTACCAATTTCTTAAATCCTTATCTTTATTTTCGCCATCCTCAACACTTTTTGAGTTTTTTTCTTTGTTTTTGTTTCTTGCTTCCTTATCACATTTAGCAATTTCAGCATCAATGTCTCTCATCTCTTCCATAAGCGTTTCAAGCTTTTGCTTAGTTGAAAATGAATTTGACTGGATGCTATGAACTGCCCCTTTACATTTTCTTTTTTTTTACAAGGAATTTTCGGTAATGATCATTGTACGAGGTTTCATCATCGCTTCCTGCCATAGGAGAGGTTTGAAGCTTTGAAGTAAAAACAATGGAAGAGAAGATTGATATGAAAAGGCGTTTCTGATTGCAGAGGAATGATGGGTAGATTTGTTTAATTGCAAAGGCAACAAGCCGTCAGTTATTAATAATCCTTTCGAATTCCTTCTTTACGATAAAAGGGAATAGTTGACAGTTTTTCACTCAGTGCACGTAAAACGAAGTCACACTTATACGATAATAATAATAAGTAAGAGTGTCAGTCGGGTTTTTTCATTCAGTTTTCTGTTGGTTTATCGGTTTTTGGTTTGTAACGGGATGTTTTTAAAATGTTGAAATTATTAACTATTAACTTTGGGTCGCTCTCTTAAATGGTTTAATACTTGATTCTCGGTTTGGGGTTGTATCAGTGCGGCTTGATATTGGGTACGGTTCATTAGTGATTGAGTATATAAATCTTTTAGTGATTGCTAAATATTTTACTGGTTTATTGCATGCATTTTTTATTGATTAGAAACTAATGCATTATTAATTCATAATAAATTTAATAAATTAAATAGTAATATTTTAGTATAACTGAACATGGTGTGGTTTAA